AGCTCAGAATAAAACTATCGTTCCAGAGATCGCGTCTTCGTCTTCTTTATAATGCACAGCTGCCATACAGGAGAACGACTGGTCGGTTCCCATAAATATACGTTATTACAGACTACTGGAAGTACGAATCGACGCCATTCTGAGTCTTGTGAATTCGTATTTTCAGAAATCTGCAATGTTAGACAGATAAAGCAGACATTTCAATTCTGTCGATAAACGCCTCATTTAAGGAAAAGATGAGTGATTTAATAAAAAGTGCACTTGAAATCAAACATTGTGAGTCAGATTAAAGTCAGACCAAGTGAATATTTCCAAAATTCACTGAGATGTATACGACATTTTAAGCACCTGAATTAGACCGCATCAAGAGAAGAAAGCTTGCGATTCGTGAAAGTGCAGAATGTAGGTCCACGCTCACCTGAACTCTCGCGTCGGAATCCGTGGAAGTTGAAAGTACAGTGGAGCCCAAACGAAGGCGAGTACCTGAGCCAACTCTTGCAGTAGATTCATGTTCACCAGATACCGCTTGACCACGCGCGGCCACAGTGTCTGCACCAATAGCGGGGTCGTGTGCCCCTTCCGGGTGTAACGCCGATGCAGACTGCAAATAAACAAACAAAAACGATAATAGAGTGGTCGGGCTCGCGGTGCCTGAAAAGCCTACTGCATACACATGGCTTCTGAGTAAAACTGACAACGTAAGTGATAAGGACTAATAAGGAGAAAATAAAAGTGGTCAGGGCAAGGCACGTAGGACATTTGGTTTGTTATTTATTAGCTAGAAACATTAATAAGAAGACCAAACTGCCTTTTCAGGAGAGGATATCAGCTCTGTGCTTGGCCTAGGAACTACAATCCAAGGCCCATATAAGCGGCAGCATAGTAGCCAGCAATCAGCGAAAAAATGTATTAGCCATAAGAGAAAGGGAGATTAGTATGGCCACGGCTAGCCAATTCTGTTTTCCCCAGCCAGTTATCAAAAAGCGGATTGAATCACAGATTAGAAACCACACAACTCACTGTCTCTAGGAAGGCTTTAGAGAAAGCCAGTACTGCGTCTACATCGCTGAGTACAACGTACAGGTCCATAAGCAGAGGATCTACATCGCTTGAGCCGTTTGCGTTTACCAGATGTTCGTACTCCGCTTGCAACCCCCGAAGCTTTTGGAAATCATCTTGAACGGTAGTTGAGAGACACTAAAGCGAAACAAAAGGAATAGAGAGCTCATTGTTTTGCCTGATCGCATTTATAGTTGATCAAAAAATATTAATTGTCTAGCAGGTAGCAGGACTGCAGCTGTTAGATGAAAACAAAGACCGGCCACCTAATCTACCATTGTAAGATTGTCTGTCCCTAACAAACCACTGTAAAGTTGCCAGCAGGCACCTGATCTGCTTTTGATATGGAACAAATAAAAAATAAAAGACGGACTGACCAAATTCCATCATATTCTTTTCCTAATTAGGCATGAAGATAACATTATACTGACGGAAGGGAATGCTACCTTGAAAAGTGGTTTGGGATTGGGTAGGGTAAAAAATATTGTCAATATCATCATTGTATGCTTTGTTTAAGAATTAATTACTAATAAATTTCCACAAACCGGCCTTCGGAAGTCAAAGCATATGCTCCAGATTGTAATTGTGAGCTCAAGCTGATACTGGTCTAAAAGAACACTGATAACGTTGAATTTGCGGTTAACCGGA